ACTGGATGAAGAAGGAAACATTTTAGAGAATCAAAACACATCTCTCTTCCCTCCAGCTCTGCCCCCACAGAATTTCCAGAAGACTTTGGAATCTGAAGCACCATATAAAACGAAAGGGAATAGTCATTAACAAGTAAGGCTTCTCTGAAGTTCTGATTGAGACATAGCAAAAGCTCACGTCTCATTCCTGTCACCATGCAGCAAGGCAAATTTATGGTAGTGTATACTGTGGAAAATTGAAATTGAGAAAACTGAACTTAGGGATTCCAGGCACAGTGGAGGATGGCAGTGAAATGCTTGGCTTTAAAGATGATTAAGTCCTGTATTGAGATGGTGGAACCACAGGATGGAAGCTGACTGGAATTACTGGACAGGTAGCAGCCCTAGAGAGCACTTGGACCATAATAGTAGATCTTATATGAGCAGGGGTAACTTTTAGTGACTGAGATGTTGGGGGGTTTTGGCCCTTTAATATAGGTCAGTTGTGGGTATGGTAGTGCAGAGAAATAAAAGAACTCTGAAAAGTCTCTATGAAGACAGTAGCCTGGCTCATATTTCTATTTACAATTTTAGAAACAGAAGTTCTCCTTGTTATATTTCAGGAATATCACAGTCTCCTCCCTGGCATATAGATGTCCTGGAGAGCCTGGGATAACAAAATTGGGGGATTGGAAGAAAAAGAAACAAAAGCAGTTTCCAGAAAATATTGCTCCCATTGTACTCCTTATGTTTTCACTCAAGTTACTTTCACACTTAAAAAAATATATATTTCCCAGGTTTCTCTGATGGCTCAGTGGTTGAGTCCGCTTGATAATGCGGAGACTCTGGTTCAATTTCTGATCTGGGAAGATCCCATATGCCTTGGAGCAACCGAACCTGGGCACCACAACTATTGAGTCTGTGCTCTAGAGCCGGGGAACCGAAACTGCTGAAGCCTGTGAGCCCTAGAGCCTGTGCTTAGCAACAAGAGAAGTCATCCTAGTGAGAAACCCGGGCACCACACCTGGAGAGTAGCCCCCATTTGCCGCAACTACAGGAAAGCTTGTGCAGCAATGACCCAGCACAGACAAAAATCAATCAATCAATTTTTTTTTAAAGCGTTACACTTTCTTAAAAAAATTTTTTTTCCCTAACCTAATCAGGACAAGCAGTGTTAAGTATACAGGTTAGCTGTAACAATAAACTGGTTTCTAAATTAGTCTTCTTGCCTTCAGTAGGCATTTCTCCAAAGAAGATATACAAATGGCCAACAGGCACATGAAGATTCTCAACACTGCTAATTACTAGAGAAATGCAAATCAAAACACAATGACATCACCTCATACCTGTCAGAATGGACATCTCAAAAAGCATAGAAATAAATGCAGCAGAGGGTATGGATGAAAGGGAACCCTCTTCCACCTTGAGGGGGACGTAAATTGGTGCAGCTACTATGGAGAACAGTATGGAGGTATTTTTAAAAAACTGAAAGTATAGAGCTACCATATGATCTAACATAAAATGGATGGGAATGGGCGACGTTCATTCAGATGACCATTATATCTACCACCGTGGGCAAGAATCCCTTAGAAAAAAATGGAGTAGTCCTCATAGTCAACAGAAGAGTCCAAAATGCAGTACTTGGGTGCAATCTCAGAAACGACAGAATGATCTCTGTTCGTTTCCAAGGCAAACCATTCAATATCATGGTAATCCAAGTCTATGTCCCAACCACTAATGCTAAAGAAGCTTAAGTTGACCAGATCTATGAAGACCTACAAGGCTTTCTAGAACTAACACCAAAAATAGATGTCTTTTTTATCATAGGAGATTGGAATGCAAAAGTGGGAAGTTAAGAGATAGCTGGAATAATAGGCAAGTTTGGCCTTGGAGTACAAAATGAAGCAGGGCATTGGCTAACAGAGTTTTGTCAAGAGCACATGCTGGTCATAGCAAACATCCTTTTCTAACAATCCAAGAGATGACTCTACACATGGACATCATCAGACGGTCAATAACAAAATGAGATTGATAATATTCTTTGCAGCCAAAGATGAAGAAGCCTTATATCACCAGTAAAAACAAGACCTGGATCTGACTGTAGCTCATATCATGAGCTCCTTATTGCAAAATTCAGGGTTAAATTGAAGTAGGGAAAACCACTAGGCCATACACCTAAATATGACCTAAATCATTTTCCTTATGATTCTACAGTGGCAGTGACAAATAGTTTTGAGGGATTAGATCTGGTAGACAGAGTGCCTGAGGAACTATGGATGGAGGTTCATAACATTGTACAAGAGGCAATGACCAAAACCATCCCAAAGAAAGAAATGCAAGAAGACATAGTGGTTGTCTGAGGAGGCTTTACATATAGCTGAGGAAAGAGAAGTGAGAAGCAAGGGAGAAAGGGAAAGATATACCCAACTGAATGCAGAGTTCCAGAGAATAGCATGGACAGAGAGATAGGAAGGTCTTCCTAAATAAACAATGCAAAGAAATAGAGGAAAACAATAGAATCAGAAAAACTAGAGATCTCTTTAAGAAAATTAGAGATAGAGAGGGAACATTTATTAACACAAGGATGGGCACAATAAAGGACAGAAACGGTAAGGACCTAAGAGAAGCAGAAGAGATTAAGAAGTGGAAAGAATATACAGAAGAACATACAAGAAAGATCTTAAAGGCCTGGATAACCATGATGGTATGGTGAGTAACCTAGAGCTGCTTTAAAGTTGTGTGTTCACTCAGTCATGTCCAGCTCTGTGTGACCCCATGGACTGTAGCCCGCCAGGCTCCTCTGTCCATGGGATTTCCCAGGCAAGAATACTGGAGTGGGCTGCCATTTCCTTCTCCAGGGGATCTTCCCAACCCAGGGATCGAGCCCCGGTCTCCCAAATTGCAGGCAGATTCTTAACCACCTGATCCACCAGGGAAGTGCCATTCCTATAATTTTCAACCTCTCAGTTCTCTGTTGATTGGTTTAAAAATCAAAAGGGCATAGACTACCTGGGCTGACCAATCAGAGCCCTCATCCCATGATTACTGTCGATTGGTCCTGATCAAATTATACCTTTGCCCAGGTATAAAGCCAGAGCCGTCAGGACATTGATCTGCATTTGGAGACCAGCTGCTGAGAGAACACTGTCTCTCTGGATCCTTGAATAGCTCCAATTGGAGTCAGGATTTTGTTGATTGGAGGTATGTCATTTTATTTCTACTTGTGCTTGTAAGCAAAAGAGGTGTTTTTCTATTATAAGTTTTTAAAAGTTACTATATATATATACTGTACTGTATACATATATATATATAGAGAGAGATACATTGGGATATTGTTTCCTTGTGTTTTTATTATTACACTATTTTCTGACAAATGGAGCTAATCTTTTTCTTAATTTTTTTTTATAAAACTCACAAAGATTTTCAGGATAAAGTGCCTCATTTAGTTAACTGGGATCCAATGGAAATAAGATGGTTTCTAGAATTGGGTAAGGAGTGAGTCAATTAGAAGGAACTTGAAAAATGTGTGAGATCAAATTAAAACTTTGATTGGATATGAGGATATTAGAATTAGGGTGGTGCTGATTGAGCTGAAACTGAGGTGGGACAGATAGAGCCAGACTTTGAGCACAACCTTTTTTATTTAGAGGCTGAATTATTCAAGGAAACAATTTTCTGGGTTGTAGTGTTTCCTCATTTGGAATTAAGGTTTTAGATTAGCAGGAGGCAAGCACTTTTTTTTTATGTTTGTCCTTTAAAATACAAAGATGAAAAAGACATTTTATATTAGAAAGCAACATTTTTCCCCTGGTAAAATTCTCATTTATGCATTTAAAGTACAAGTATTAAATGCATATGATTTTGACTTCTTTGGAGGCATATATTTGTTACTAAAGGAATTGAAACTTTTTTACTATTTCACTTCATAATTGATGTTAATTTGTACATGGGATCTATAGATTTTGTATGCTAATCAGTGTTCAGAAACTTGGTTGATCCATATATTTCTAATAATCTGTTTGTGAATGCAATTTAATAATTAGACTAGTTGGAATGTTTCAGATGTTTGCCCATTAAGGATAATACTTGTTAGGAACATGCACATTGGTATCTGTACTTTCTGTCTTTCTCTATCTTATTTCACTTGGAATAATACCCTCCATGTCAACCAATGCTGTTGTGAATGGCAAAATTTCATTCTTGTTTATCACTGAGTAGTATTCCACCAGATATCTATGTCACATCTTCTGTATTCATTCAACCATGGATGGACACTATGGTTGTCTGCATATCTTGACTATTGTGAGTAATGCCTCAAGGAACCTAGGAGGGCAGATGTTATTTTGATATTCTGTTTTTATTTCATTTGGATATATACCCAGAAATGAGATTGTTGGATTATATAATAGTTCTATTTAAAATTTTTAAAGAACCTCTATACAGTTTTCCATAGTATGTACCATAGCTGTACCAATTTACATTCCTGTTTAAAAAGTATATTTTTGCCCTTAAATTCAAATTTTGAAATTAAGATTGCTGTAAAATTTTGTGTTAAATCAGTTCCTTTTATCATCTACTCATCTTCAGATATTCTGTATTTTCTTTAGGTTTGGCTTTGAAACTTCCATGAAGACACTTTTTGCCACAGTGAGCTGAGAAACTGCCAGGCACTCAAGCCTGTGAATCTGGGGTGGCCTCCGAGGCACTTATACCCCCAACCAAAGAAAGTCACAGAGCTGCAGGCCGAAGCAGGACTTGGTTCAGGGAACCTTCCCCTCTGGGAAACACCCTCTTTCCTTTGGCTACAGAATACAGACGAGGGTGGGTTGTCGTTCCGGTGGATTAACAAGCTTGAAAAGATACCGCCCCACTGGTTTAAAGGTTCTAGTCTGAGTCACTGCCCCTCAGACACAACAAAAATTTCTAAAAACAAAGTCTAGGGAGGAGGTCACTCCCTGAGCTCTCAGGTGCCCACAGCATACCTAAGAGCCGGAGAGGCCACAGCTGGTTATACTGCAGCCATGCAGTCTAAGCACTTTGGTTCCCAGAGCCCAAGTTGTAAGATCATGACCTTCTACCCAACCATGGAAGAATTTGCGGACTTCAACAAATACATTGCTTACATAGAATCGCAAGGGGCCCACCGAGCAGGCTTGGCTAAGATAGTTCCACCCAAGGAATGGAAAGCCAGACAGACCTACGACGATATCGATGACATCTTAATAGCCGCTCCGCTGCAGCAGGTGGTCTCTGGGAGGGCAGGTGTGTTTACTCAATACCACAAAAAGAAGAAAGCCATGACCGTGGCAGAGTACCGCCACTTAGCAAATACTGAAAAATACCAGACTCCATTCTACTCCGATTTTGAGGAATTGGAGCGAAAATACTGGAAAACCCGCATGTACGCGTCCCCAATATACGGCGCGGACATCAGTGGCTCTTTGTTTGATGAAAACACGAAGCAGTGGAACCTGGGGCACCTGGGAACCATCCAGGACCTGCTGGAGCAGGAGTGCGGGGTGGTCATCGAGGGCGTCAACACCCCCTACCTGTACTTCGGCATGTGGAAGACCGCCTTCGCCTGGCACACGGAGGACATGGACCTTTACAGCATCAACTTCCTGCACTTCGGGGAGCCCAAGACCTGGTACGCGGTGCCGCCCGAGCACGGCCGGCGCCTGGAACGCCTGGCCCGCGAGCTCTTCCCCGGCAGCTCGCGGGACTGCGAGGCCTTCCTGCGGCACAAGGCGGCGCTCATCTCGCCCACGGTGCTCCGGAACAACGGCATCCCCTTCGGTCGGGTCACGCAGGAGGCGGGCGAGTTCATGGTCACCTTCCCCTACGGCTACCACTCGGGCTTCAACCACGGCTTCAACTGCGCCGAGGCCATCAATTTCGCCACCCCTCGCTGGATCGATTACGGCAAAGTGGCCTCGCAGTGCAGCTGCGGCGAGGCGCAGGTGGCCTTCTCCATGGACGCCTTCGTGCGCATCCTGCAGCCCGAGCGCTATGAGCTGTGGAAGCGCGGGCAGGACCGGGCGGTGGTGAACCACGCCGAGCCCGCGGCGCCGGGTGGCCGGGAGCTGAGCGCCTGGAGCGGGGTGCACTCGCCCTGGGGAACCCGGCTCGCCTGCAACTCCCTGGAGCCGCGCCAGACCCCGCCGCTGACGCCAGGTCCATCCGCCCCAGCTCACCACCCAACTGGCAGATGTGCTTCTCGACGTCGTCCTCGGGAAAAGGGAAAAGGGTACTCCAGGGCTGACTGTCCGACTCGGGCGAAGAGGAGCCTCTCCAAAGACTCAGATCTGAGACGCAGCCCCGCCCTACAGAGCGACCCTGGATGGAACAACCCAGCCCGTGGGCTCCAACGTCTTGCTGAGGCCTCCGAGTATGACTGCTCTTAGGGGAAGCCTTTGTACCCCACTGCTCTTGGGTGTGGGCGATCCTCGAGACTGGTCATCGCTTATATTTCAGAGCTTTGGGTGTTAGCAGGTCATTAGTCTTGCCGCAGAGTCCCTCCTGTGTTGCCCCTGGAAGTGTACTGGATTTTTGAGTCTTTGATGTATGGGAAAAGTGTTCGCTGCCATATTTGTTCACAACTATATTAAAGGCAACTAGGATGTTAACATCTGACTTGATTTAATCACTTGAGAGGTGTTTAGGCACTTTTCTGAATAATTCTATCAAAATATTTCAAGCGAAAGTTATTTTTATGAGCTTGTTGTGTCGTGTGGTGTTGATGAATGAGTTGGGGGTTGATTGTTGGGTTCAGGCTGACTGGATGGGTTGGGGGATTTGGTTTGCAGCCATATCTTAAGGATGAGGACTCGGTGGAGATCACCTGGTACTTGTCTGACCCAAGTTGCTAGGAGAGATGAGCCAACATAGGATAAAAAAAATGCCATCATCTGAAAATCTTCTAACTCTCCACTACTTTTCAATGCTGTGTGTCTATTTCACATGGTTAAGTCATGGATACATCCCAGTAAACGAATCCACGCATAAATGAACAAGACAATTTCAAGTGGGCATACATTCTGTGAAGCAATGAAAGTCTAGTTCGGGTGGTATAGAAATACTTCCTAGCTGCTGCTGTTGCTAAGTCGCTTCAGTTGTGTCCCACTCTGTTAGACCCCATAGACAGCAGCCCACCAGGCTCCCCTGTCCCTGGGATTCTCAAGGCGTGAACACTGGAGTGGGTTGCCATTTCCTTCTCCAATGCATAAAAGTGAAGAGTGAAAGTGAAGTAGCTCAGCTGTGTTTGACTCTTTGCGACCCCATGGACTGCAGCCTACCAGGCTCCTCTGTCCATGGGATTTTCCAAACAAGAGTACTGGAGTGGGGTGCCATTGCCTTCTCTGATACTTCCTAGAGCAGGAGACACTTCCCAGTCTCAAATGACAAGAAGGGAGATCCAGAGCTGATTTCCACTTGGAAGAAACAGCGGTGTAACAGACCTACCATAGAGCTTGGTGGTGTTTTTGCAGGATAGAAAGTTTTTGCACACTCCTTTGTGTCTCGGGCATAGAGAGGGGGAGGCAGGATCTGGGGTATGTAGGACCTTGTAGCTCATGTTAAGTATTTGAGTTTGTTCAACTTGAAATGAGAAATCACTGGAAGTTTAAAACAGCACTTGACTTGATATCATTTACACATTTAAATAATCACCTTCATTGTTCTGTGGACCATGTAGGGGCAGGAAAATGTAGTTGTGGGTGTATGAATGCTCAGTCATGTCTGACTCTTTGTGACCCCGTGGGTTGGAGCCTGCCAGGCTTTTGTGTCCACGGGATTTTCCAAGCAAGAATACTGGAGCAGGTTGCCATTTCCCAAGTGTCCTGTGTCTCCTGCATTGGCAAGTGGATGCTTTACCACTGAGACACCTGGGAAGCCCAGAATGTAGTTAGAATATCTAAATAGTACAGGTGAGACTTGATGGTTACTGAGTTAGGCCCTAATTATGAAAATGTACAGAAGTGGTCAAACTCAGAATCATTCCTGGAAATTGAAAATGATAGTTTGGATGCTGAAGGAAACATTTCAGAGATACAAACCACATCTCTCTTCCCTCCCGGTGTGCCCCAGAGAATTTCAGTAAGACTTGGGAATTTGAAGCATCATGTAAAACTAAAGGCTGGAGTCATGAAAAAATAAGGTTTATTTGAAGTTCTGATTGAGGAGTAGCAAAAGCCCATAGGGCTTCCTCAGTGGCCCAGTGGTAAAGAATAAGCCTGCAATGCGGGAGACGCAGATTTGATTCCAAGAGGAGGGCATGGCGACCCACACTAGTATTCTTGCCTGGGGAATCCCATGGACAGAGAAGCCTGGTGGGCTACAGTCCATGGGGTTGCAAAGAGTTGGACGTGACAGAAGTGACTGAGCACTCATGCACAAAAGCCCAAGTTTCATTCCTATCACCATGCAGCTAGGCAACTTTGCCGTAGCATCTTCTGTGGAAAATTGAAGCTGAGGGACTGAACTCATAGACCCGGGCACAGTGGGAGGTGGTAGTAAGATGCTTGGCTGACAAGATGATTAAGTCTTGTTTTGAGATGGTGGAACCACAGGATGGATGCAGACTGGGATTACTTGGAAGGCAGCAGCCCTAGAAAGCAGCAGGACCAGAGTAGATCTTTATGAGCAGGGAGTAAACTTTCTTGTGATAAATAAGTGCAATATTGAGGGATTTGGGTCCTTTAATAGAGGAAAGTTTTGGATACAGTACTGCAGAGTAATAAGGGACTCTGAAAAGTCTCTATGAGCCTGGCTCATATTGCTATTTTAAATTTTAGAAGCTGAAATTCTCCTTGCTATATTTCAGGAATATTACAATCTCTTACCCCATAGATGCATATCCTGGAAAACCTAAGCTAACAAAATTAGGAGTTTTGAAGGAAAAGAAGCAAAAGCAATTTTCAGAAAATATTGCTCCCATTTTACTCCTTATATTTTTCACTCACTTTCATACTTCAAAGAAAAATTTCCTTGCCCAATGAAGACAACAAATATAAAAATTACAATTTAGCTTTATCAATATACTGGTTCCTAAATTAGTCCTCCTGACCTAAGTAGGCATTTCTCCAAAGAAGACATACAAGTGGTCAACAGGCACAAGAAAAGATGCTCGACATCTCTATTTATTAGAGAAACACAAATCAAAACCACAATGAGATCACTTCACACCTGTCAGAATGGCCATCATCAAAATATCTACAAATAATAAATCCTGAAGAGAGTGTAACCCTCTTACACTTTAGGTGGAAGTGTAAAGTGCTTCAGCCACTATGGAGAACAGTATGGAAGTTCCTTAAAAAACAAGAATAGAACTACCATATGATCCAGCAATCCCACTCTTAAGCATACATCCAGAAAAGAGAAAAACTCATTGGAAAAGATACATGCACCTCAGTGTTTATAGTAGCACTATTTATAATGTCCAAGATAGGGCTCAGATGGTAAAGAATCCGCCTGCAATGCGGGAAACCTGGGTTCGATCCCTAGGTTGGGAAGATCCCCTGGAGAAGGGAAAGGCTACCCACTCCAGTATTCTTGCCTGGAGAATCCCCATGGACAGAGGAACCTGGCAGGCTGCAGTCCGTGGGGTTGCAACGAGTCAGACACGACTGAGCGGCTAAGCACACAAGACAAGGAAACAATCCAATTCCCATCAACGGATGAAAGGTCAAAGAAGTGGTGTATGTACAGACATGTACATACACAACGGAATATTACTCAGCCACAAAAGAATGAAATATTGTCACTTGCAGTAACATGGATGGACCTAGAGAATATCATATTAAGTGAACACACAGAGAAAGACAAATATACCACATGTGATATAAAAAACAATACAAGTGAATCTATATACAAAGCAGAAACAGACTCACAGAAAACAAACCTGTGGCTAGTAAAGTGGAAAAGGGGCAGGAGAAGGATGAATTAGGGGTATGGGAATAAAGATTCACACTACTGTACATAAAATAGATAAGCAATAAGGATTTACCGCATAGTACCTGGAACTGTACTGCAGAATCCGCCTGCAATGCAGGACACTCAGATGTGGGTTCGATCCTTGGATTAGGAAGATGTCCTGGAGGAGGGCATGGCAACCCCCTTCAGTATTCTCACCTGGAGAATCCCATGGACAGAGGAGCCTGGTGGGTTACAGTCCATGGGGTCGCACAGAGTTGGACACGACTGAAGCAATTGAGCACTCAGACACAGGAAACTATATTCAATATCTTGAAATCACATGAAGAAAAATAATCTGAAAAAACATGTATAACATTCACTTCGCTGTACATGTGAGTCTAACACAACACTGCACATTAACTATTACATTTAAATTTTAAAAAATTGATCTTGAAAGGATCAGGAGCTGGGAAGGGTAATGAATGGGACTCATCAAGTGATTCTATTCAAATTTCTATTTTACTTCATGTGGATGGACACATTCAATTCAGACACTCTCAATCGGGACTGCTCCTCTCAGGACAAGATGCCCATAACCAACTGTTTCTCCATGTCCAAGAGGTTTTTGCTAAACTGAATCTTGGAAAAACAAGACCCACTGACAATGAATATTATATACCAGCAATAATAGAGCCACCTTTGTTCTCATTGCCATGATCTCTTTTAGGCTCCTCTCCACTTCTGAGAAATAACAATCATGAGTTCAAAGTATATTCATCAAGTGTATAGACAGAAGTCTAGGACATCAAAAGCAGTGTTTCATGTGGTTTTGTCAATGTAGCCTCACCATCACCTCTTTAAACTGTCAGTGTTACAGGGACTTCTCCTGTTGTTCAGTGGTTAAGAATCTGCCTTGCAATGCAGGGAACACGGGATCAGTCCCTGGTCTGGGAAGATCCCGCACGCCATGGGGCAACTAAGCCCATGTACCTCAACTACTGACGCCTGCACGGGGTGTCAAGAGTAGCAGCTAGAGAAAGCCCGGGCAGCAACGAAGACCCAGCACAGCCAAAAACACTAAACAAATATTTTTAAAAGTCAGTATTACAGTTACAAGATCTAAATTATTACATATAGATCCTAGTCAGTTCAACAGAGTCAACTAGGTTGGTTTAATTTTTAAAATTTTATTCATTGTGCTGCTGATAGACTGTATGATAATTTCCAAACCTTTGTGAATTCAGACTGTGCTTTTTACACAACAGCTTTGTACCTAGGGTTACTGGTTTGTATTTATGCTCATTTTGAACTTTCTAGGAAAAGCCAGATTACCCT